AGCCAGCAAACTTGCAGGTAGACATTACATGGGAGGAGTGTATGATTACCCATACGCTCCATGGTACTTCCTTTTTGTGGTTCATATTTAGGATCCTGTAAGGTAACCCCAAAAAGGAACTACTTTGGAGCCTAGGGGTATAGCTAAACCCTAAGCCTTCAGATATGTTTAGCCCTTCGGACACTTTGGCCGATGCCTTTTTAGGATGTAGATTGATTTATTTATTTATTTTTGTTTTTTTCGGGGTGGTCCTTATTGAACCTATACATAATTACCAATACTATTTTGGGGGGTTCCTTATTAGAATTATATACTGTGGAGGAGCCCAAACCCTATTCTATTTGTTAAGTCCCCTGCAATATGCGCAAGGCCTACTACCAGTCAGAACCTGACAAGTGGACGCAACTGCGGGTGTCCGTGCCTGAGCCGTGCTAATGCGAAAGTTGCCAGGGATCCTGGGATCTTGTTACCCATAGACTCCATGATTTAGGATCCTATAAGGTAACCCCCAAAAGGAATTGCTTTGGAGCCTTTGGGTAAGGGCCTAGCTAGGGTTTAGTACTGGCTCAAATCTTTTGGGTTGAGCTTTATGTAGGGCTTGAGGTTAAGGGACAACTTTTTCCTAGTTCCACAAAATCCCCAAAATCCCGCTTTGCGAGGCCCCGGGCCTTTCGTGCGGGGATGCACGGAGAGACTGTCAAGGCAGACAGCGTTTATAGGGTTTACCTGCGGATCCCAGAACCTCCCGTTTTAAGGGTTCTACCCTCGGAGCAAGGGGTCATAACCCACTATTTTGTAGGGTTTGGATTCGCAGGTACGGTTTGGAGTTCAGGTTTTAGGGTTTTCAGGGTTAGTGTTTAAGGTTCAGGGAACAACCAAGACCTAGTTTTTGTCCACGGTCCCTCTGGAATTTTTATTAGTGCTAACAACCTACAAAGAGTAGTAGGTTGTGGTAGTTTAAGTTTAACCGTAAGCCCCAGCCTTTGGGCTCAAGGCTCAGGGCAACAGGTTTAGAGCTCAGGGTTGACTTGGTGATCCAACAAACTACCGATTTCAGGGCTCGACCCTCTTATGGAGGGGTCATATCCTACTGCTTTGTACAAGTTGGGGTCGCAGAGAATGTTTGGTTGGCTCGTTGTGGTTATCGTTATCGTTCTCATTAGCAACTAGCATTAGCAGCATTAGCAGCAGCCAGTGGCATTGGCATTGGCTCGTCGTCTTCACCATCATCATGCATCCGAATGAGTAGTGGCAAAAGACCATTTAAATACTCCACAGCCCCTCCTGGTATACACATAGCATACTCTACCCCGAACCCCTAGTCTTACTACTGAGGCGCTTACTAGGAATTCGACTACCTAAGAAGCTTATGGTTTTTATGTAGACCTTGCGCCTGGAGGCTCATGAAACTCAGTATATAAGTACAAGTCTACGTACATTAACTGGGGCTAAAACTAGTTGTAAATATAGTTACCTCATGAACAACCCTGGTTACACAACCCCATGATTCTCTAACGGTGTTGACGTTGATGGTTTAGGGTATATTATTTCATGTCACCGCTCGAGAGGTTTCGAACACCTGTTCTGTTTTTTCGGGCTTTAGGGTTTAGGGTCTGGGTTTCTTGATTTTGGGGGTTAAGGGTTCAGGGTTCGGAGTTTCAGCTAAGGGTTTCGGTTTCAGGGCGTTGGGGCTTAGGTTTGGGGTTTAAACCCTAAACCCCTAAACCCCTAAACCCCTAAACCCTACACCCTAAACCCCTAAACCCCTAAACCCCTAAACCCTAAACCTTTTCGACCTTGGAGTTCAGGATTGGTGTCCCGTTTTGTAGTTTTGGCCTTTACAGAGGGATGCGGATCTTGCAAGAACCTTCAGGGTCTGTGTACTAGCTCCTGAACCCCAAAACCCTACAATTAAACACTGAAAGGGCGTTGAAGAGCTTCGCTTACGTTATGCATGTTTTGTTTGTGTATGTGTGCTGTTTTCTTGGGGAGGGGAGGGGGGGGGCGGTGTCTCTCGCGGCTACTAGGGGTTCAATGTAACCTGCAATGAGATATCTAATGGGGCTTGTTCAAGATTTCACGGGTCTGTGGCTGAAGACAATGTGTATTTGCAGATGCTTAGCTCATATTTGTTTGCTGCTGACGATTGAGGACGCCAAAGCTTTCGCAGCAAAGAAGAGCTAAATGAAATCATACGAAAGTGGGACTCTTGAACCTCTAAGGGTCCAAAGGCCCCAATAATTGTGTACCTGGGGTTAGTCTAGTAGTTATAGTTATATAGGTTACTATTGGGGAGGGTATATGATTATATGATTATTAGGTCACTTGAACCGTGAGAAGTTGGTTAACAATACCGAGCTCGAGGTTCAAATAGGCTGAACTTGACGTTCTCGTGGCCATGGCAGCTCGACGTGTTGGTAGCCCTTAACCCTACCCTGTTAAGGCTTATAGGGGTTTAGGGTTTAGGGTGTTTAACACTCTTCGCCTACAGTTTAGCAGCCATTACCCCGTAATTAATAGGTAGAACCGTAGAACCCATAAAAACTGTAGGTAAATAGAGTCCCAGGTAAACCCCAAACCGTCCGAAACCTCGAAGCTCAGAAATCCATTGATGTTGAACGGGATTAGCTGATGAGCTTAGGGTTTAGGGCTCAGGGGGACATGGACAACCCCAGAGAGCGGGCTGATGTCCCCACAGAGGCCCCCGGTTGAGCTTTGGCTCATTAACCCCAAAAACCCTGAACCCCCCAAACCCCAAACCCTAAACCCCCAAAGCCCTAAACCCTAAACCCCCAAAGCCCTAAATCCTAAACCCCCCAAAAAAACTTCAACCGTAACCTTCACTGGGGGATGCAGCTGGCGCAAGGAGAGCGCCTTAGGAGGACTGGCGCCCTTTCCCTAAAGGTCCCTGTAGCCATATAGTATATACTTGGTTTAGGGTTTTAGGTTTAGGGTACTTAATTATGGACTACACTAAAGCCCAAGGCTTCGCGGCCTGGGCTAACCCGGCGAGAGAGACCACCTCCGGGAAGCTTGTGCCTTCAAGGAACCCGTATCGCAACCCTCAGATGCCCAAAAACCTCAAAACCCTTTAAAGAGCCCTAAGCCTCAGAGCTGTATGGTACCCTCTACTTAAACCCTAAACTATGGTACCCTCTACCTAGACCCTTAACTATGGTACCCTCTACCTAGACCCTAAACGATGGTACCTAAGCCCTAAACTATGGTACCCTCTACCTAAACCCTAAACCCCCAAGGCCCTAAACCTTAAACCCCCAAAACCCTAAACAAGAGCCCTAAGCCTCAGAGCTGTATGGTACCCTCTACCTAGACCCTAAAGCCTCAACCCTCTCGGCCTAAGACCGAAAGGCGTGTACTTTGGACGCACTGAAGCGATGGCTCTCCTACCGACTCCAGGTGCAGGTGTCCGGAGCCCGGTGCAAGGTTTAGGGCTTAGGGGCTTAGGGGTTTAGGGGTTTAGGGTTTAGGGGTTAGGGTTTAGGGTTTAGGGGTTTAGGGGTTACCTGTGAATCCCAAAAACCTACCGCTTTAAGGGTTAGACCCTATGATTAAGGGGCCATCACCTACTATTTTGCAGGGTTTCGGGCTTCGGGTTTAGGGTTTAATGGGAACGCTTGATTAATAAGTCCACCCCACTCCCCCCTGCAAGGTAGGTCAGCTGGTGGCCTCATCCGACCCACCCGATTAAGTTTGGCCGGTTTCGGGCTTGCCACCCAACACTCCTTCTAGGGTTTTGTAGGGCAGGTAGGGCAGGTACAGGGTTTAAGGTTGGGGCTGAAGGTTGAGGTTGGGGTTTTAGCGTCTAGGGGGTGTTCAGGGTTGAGGGTTGAGGTTAGGGTTTTAAGGCTCCCTTTTAGTTTGTAACTTCCTGGGCTCAGGTACTTTACGCTTTAGGGCCGAAACCTTAAACCGTTAGCTTCGTAGGGCCGAGACCCTCACCCTAAACCTAAACCCTCAAGCCTCAATAGTCAAACAAAGGCAATAGCAAAACACGATTGTTCTGCGGCGGCCGGATTATTATTCGGGGGGTTCCTTGCCTGCATGGGCGAGGCCTTTACAAGCTTGAAAACCTGAGTGCTTTACATAGGCTTTGATAAAAAAAAGTTGCCTGGCCACCTCTGGAATTTCTTCACTCAAACCCCGCTAAACCCTAGACACTAGGCCAAACCCTAAACCCTAAACCCTGAAGTTGAACAGGCAGTCATCAGAGAAACACCAACTATGTAGAGGCTCCCTTACTGTTGACATGCCTTGCAGAGACTGTCTTAACCTCCCCCTAAGCCCTGAACCCTAAAGCCTGGACCCCAACCTGCCCCCAAACCCTGAACTTCTAAACTCAACACCCTGAGCCCTGAACCCTTTCTAAGTCTGCAGGCAAGTTGGTTTTTGGAGATGCTTGGGGCAGAAGGTTGCCATTGATCGGAGGGGGGGGGGTTGGCAAGGCTTTTTTTTTCCAAGGGTTGGGCTCTGGTGGAAGAGGCCAGCGCCTTTAAAGCATGGTTTCAGCATGTTTCAGCCAGGTCCGAGGCCCGCGCGGCATGCTTTTAATCACGGGGGTTTATTAATCAAAAGTTGACATCAGACCGCTCAACTGAGTGCAAGTGTGAATCAGCTTGCTGGCGGCTTGTGATCCTTAGCCGCTCCTGACCTGTGGCCATTGGCTCTGTACGTTAGGGCCCTTGAGTTTCTAAGCTACTGTGTGCGGAAGGAAAAGATAGAGAGCAGTGCGCGCCATCGTTTCGAAGCCTTCGCGGTGTAAAGTGTCATCAGTTGGCAGCGGAGCCGTGGTTTTCCCAGGGACCTCACCCTTGGCAGCGCTGGCCCGCCGAGGACGCCGATCGCACGATCCACCGGAAGTTCTACGTGACCGGTGTGCAGCAAGGACTTCGGCAGCTACTACGTGATTCTCCGGAACTTCGCTGTGAAGCAAGGACTTTGGAGTTCAGCGGGCGTTCTGCCTTTGGGGTGCGACGACAGCCATGGCCGGAGCGCCGTCCTCCGGCGAAGGGGGGTGGACTTACAAGGATAAAGAGCCTCCCCCAGGCTACGACGGGACGAGCCCTCAGAGCAAGTTCAAGGCTTATCTTCGTGACTTAGAACTCTGGCAAGCATGCACAGATGTGCCAGAGGACAAACAGGGACTCAAGTTAGTCCAAGTCTTGTCCGGGGCAGCCAAAGCTGCCGTTGACACGCTGACCGTGAAGGAGATCAAAGGTGCCGACGGCTTTGCCAACGTTCTTAAGAAGCTGAAGGAAGCGTTCGAGCCGTATGTGGAGACGGCCCTCCCGAGGGCAATGGAGAATGCTTTCTACGGTGCACCAAGAGGACACAAGGAGAGCATCAGCGAGTTCCTCATCCGCTTCCAGAGGGCCCAGGCGGTGCTCAAGGATGAGGGCATCACCTTGCCGGTCAAGGCGACCGGCTACCTTCTCTTCAGGCAGGCCAACCTAGATGGAGAATTGGAGGCCCGGCTGGTCACTTGGCTTGGTGGCGACTACTCCCTGGACACCGTGATCACCAACCTCAGGAGGCTAGAGAGAGTCCACGCCGACGGTGGCAAGAGGACCTTCCTGGTCGAAGAAGAGGAGCCCGGGGAGATGAGCTACGACCCTGTCGGCCCGGAGGTTTTCCTTGGCGAGCCGGCGGAAGAGGACGAGAGCGAAGAGGAATCAGGTGCTAGAAGAGGACGACGTCTTGGATGCCCTCGCGACTTATCAGCAGGTAAGGAGCAGAAGCTGGGAAGGCAGTTTTTCAAGCCAGGCGACCGCGGACCCGGGAAGGGGAAAGGAGTCGGTGGTGGCAAGGACCGCCCCCGCAGCTTCGGCCGTGCCAAAGGCGACGGCAAGAGCGGAAAGAGCGAGAGCCGACGCATCCACATAGAGCAGCTTAAGTTGCGGACCCGTTGCCGGAACTGCGGGCAGGTGGGGCATTGGAGCCGGGAGTGCAAAGCCCCGCCAAGCATGGCTTCTTCGACTTCCCGACCTCCGTCTTCGGTGGCTACCGGCTCGGCGGCTACTGGGTCTCAGCGGTCGAGCTTTTATTGGACGGTTCCCCCAGAAAGCCCGGGGCAGTCCTCCTTCTTTACCTTTCTCGACGCGCTCCACGGGGCGAGCAAAAGGACCGCAGCAGCAGCCGAGGTACCCAGCAGTTTTGTAGTGACAGCAGACCACCAAGGCCTCGTTGACACCGCTGCCCAAGAAGGCCTCATAGGACGCAGTGCTCTTCTAAGGCTCCTTTCGGTACTTCGCAAGCACAACCTGCGGGCCCACTGGACCGACAAAGAAGCTAGTGCCCGTGGAATCGGAGGAAGCGCTCGTACTGTTGGTGTTTGTGAGCTGCCGGTGGGTGTTGCAGGGGTGCCGGGTGTTCTAGAAACCACGGTGGTCACAGATGATGTTCCTCTTCTACTACCCGTTTCCTTGTTGAAGGCCCTGGGTGCCATTGTGAACATGCCCGAGTCTAAGCTGCAGCTCACGGCGGTAAACTCGGAGTGCCCTATGGTTTCCATGGCTTCGGGGCACCTGGCTGTTTCAGTTGTCGACTTCGGGCCCCAGGGCTGGAGTTTGCCCTCAGGCTGTGAAGGAATTCGGCAAGAGCAAGACTTTAGGCTGAGCGGAGAACGCGGGTCGCAGCAGCAATTCGGCTTTCACTCAATGTGTGTGCCCCCGGCTTCCTGTTATCTTGCGCAACATGCTCACCTCGCTCGCCCTCCAAGCCGAGAAGCAGCCGGTGCGGAAGCCTCGCCGCCGCGTTCCCGACCGCGCCAGGGAGGCCTTAAGAAACTGGCGGGTCATGTTGGACAAGCTCTACTCGGTTGTGCTTTGGGGGCGGTTGCGTACGGCGGTGTCCGACTGGATGGGCCCAGCACCTTTGCCACAAACTTCGAGCCGAACCTGGGCGACTTCCTCAGGGGAGGTGGCGCTGGCACCGACCAACAAGGGCAAGTTCTACCGCGACTACCTCGATGGCAACCCCAAGAAGCTGGCCAAGATCAAGGGCATCCCGGCGGTGGAGGCAGATGTGTGCCAACACGAGGCCAGGTTCCTGAAAGGAGGAGGGAATGGACACCAAAATTGGATCCATTGCTCTCAGTGCCTGGAGCGTTGGCTGTTGAGCGGTCCGGAGGGACCGGTGCGACTTCACCGCGCTCGGGGAATTGTACTCCTCCGAGATCTTCCTGGTGGTGAACGAGCCCGAGCTCTACCTGCACGGCACGCTGGACGACGGGCTAGAGGTGAACTTGTCCGAGTACCACACGGATTTTTGCCAATGGCTGGCCGAGCTAGAGAAGGAGCCGGGCGAGAAGCCAGAACCACTATGTTTCCTGGGGGTCGACCAGCCGGAGAGCGAGGGCTGGGAGCAATGGCTATGTCGGGAGCAGTTTTGCGCATGAAACTTCCGAAGGAACCACATCAGGTGGACCACGTGTGTCGCCTCGCTCGGGCGCAGTGGAAAAGAGGAGGCGCCTTTGTGATTGAGGTGCCCGACCAGCCAGTTCGGCGAGACGCGTGGAAGAGGCTGAGGTCGCAGGTGCAAGGAAGTTCGGCATCGCAGCGCTTGTTTCGCAAAAGGCGCTTGGTGTCCAACGTGGCAGACCAGGTGAGGTACCAGGCGGCGGACGCTGATGACCTTATGGTGTTTTGCCGGGCGCCGGTGGAACAGAACCCGGAGCCGAACTTCGAAAACACCGTGGCCGAGACCTACACCATTGACCTCGACAACCTGGAGGAGATAGAAAGAGGAGAAGATGAAGCCGCGGTTCCTGAGGACCCAGCCGGTGAGGAGGCCGTTTCTTCGCCGCCGGTCCGAGAGCCGACGAAGCAAGAGAAGGAAGCAGTGGAGAAGCTCCACCGCAACTTGGGTCACCCCAGCAACTCTTCCCTGGCCCGAACGCTAAAGGTCAGTGGGGCGGAAGAGCACATTTGGCGCTATGCGAAAACGGGGTTCCGTTGTCCGGCCTGCAGCTCTGGTGTGCTACCAAAGCCGGCCCGACCGGCCACTATTCCCAAAAGCTTTGCGCCAAACGTGGTGATCGCGATTGACCTCTTTGAGTTCCCGGCCTGGAACGGCGAAGGCACCGACCGCTACCTCAACGCCATCTGTCTTGGAACGAATTTTCAGCTTGTGGAAAAGGTTCGCAGCAAGCAGCCTGGAGCCATTTGGGCAGCCCTGGCTCGCGGATGGGCGCGCATTCTCGGGTTCCCTCAAATCATCTTGCTTGACCAGGGGACCGAGTTCTTAGGCGAATTTCGCCAGAACGCCCACGACATGGGGGTGTTGGTACATTGCATAGGAGCGAGGGCCCCGTATCAAAACGGGCGTTGCGAAAGACACGGGGCGCTGTTTAAGACAATGTTGCAGAAAGCTCTGCGGTCCTGTCCTCCCACGTCTTCCGAAGACTTCAAGCTGCTGCTCCGGGAGGTAGAGAGTGCTAAAAATCGCCTCTCGGATCGCTCTGGATTTTCACCATCGCAGCGCATGCTAGGCGAAACTCCCAGGACCACTGGCGAGCTGCTCGCCGATGAGATGGTCGATGTGGTTCTCAAGGGTGTTTCCGGAGAAATGGAAAAGCGGCTGCAGGCCAAGCGGGCTGCACAAAAGGCGTTTGCAGAGGTGAACACGTCGCAAGCAGTTCGCAAGGCTATGCGGGCAAGAGCGAGGACACAGCGCACCTTTCGCCCGGGCGACATTATTTTCGTCTGGCGGTCTTGGAAGGCCCAGGGCATCAAGAAGCAGGCCTGGGTTGGACCAGGTGTGGTGGTGCTCCCCGACGGCCCGAATGCCTATGTGAATGTCAAAGGCAGGCTTTGGCGCGTGGCGAACGAGCACCTCCGAGAAGGCACCTCAGAGGAGATGCGCGGCATCGAGGCGGTGCACCAGGTCTTCGACGAGCTGAGGGAGCGTTTCAGAAGGCCCGGCCGTGAGCTTGGCGTGGTGGAGGACCTCACTCAGGAGCCCAGGCCTCCGCCGGGGCAACAGGAGAACTACGAGGACCCAGTTCGAGCTGAAGGAGAAGCCCGGGGACTACCGCGTCATCGGGTGGAGGATCCGGAGCCGCCGGTGCCGGTGCCGGAAGTGGCCGTTCCCATGAAAAAGGTGCAAGAAGCGATGCAGGAGCCGCCGGTCCCCGAACCGCCGCTTCCCGAAGTTCCGCTGCCGGCCGAAGATTTGCCCAGGCATTCTTCGCAAGTCACCGCGGAGGAGCCAGAAGTGGAGAGAATTTCTAGCCAGCCCGAACAGGACCTGGAGTCTAGAGTCAATGCCGGGCAGGAGGCCATCCAGCTGAGCCGGCAAATGGACGGCATACCGTATGGAGCCGTGAGGCCCTCGGCTTCTTCACGGCCGGCACCCTCAGCACCTTACTTGGCCGAGCTCGTTTCCGACGATTGGTTCGGGAGACCTCGTTTCCTGAACAACCTGCGCGCGACCAAGTGCAAGCCCCTCACCGAGACCATTGGCAGTTTCTGGTGGAGGAAGGTGTGGTGAGGAGGCACCATGTCCGATGGAGGTCGTGTCCGTTCTCTCCTTGGGAAGCACCCAAAGTCCCAGTGCCGCTCTGTTTCCTCAGCTCGGAAAGGAACACCGTTCGAGTCTGCAAGACGGGCGCTGCCGACAACAACCACGACGACTGGAAAGAGCTGAAGCCGAGCAAGCGCAGCCACGGGAAATGGAAAGGACACACCGACTTCTACTTGACCAGAGAAGCTCTCAAGGAGGTCGCGCGAAATCCCAATAAGTACCAGCAGCAGCAGCAGCAGGTCCAGGCCGAGTACGTGTTCCACGCAGAGACGGCCACCTTTGCCGTGAAGAAGGGCTCGGATGAGATTGCCGAGAAGGACATAGCCCCAGCAGATTGGCCAGAGTGGCGTGTGGAAGACGCCAAGGAGTGGGCCAAGATAGAGGCCTCTGGGGCGGTGTGCGTTTTGTCGGTAGAGGAAAGCCGGCGTGTGGTACAGAACCTGACCTTGGAGGGCAAGCTGAACACCGCATTATCGACAGCAGGTACGTGAGACGACTTAAGCCAGGAGAGCAGGTGGGGGAAAAGCCCACCAAGAAGTCCCGCTGGTGTGTGCGCGGAGATCAAGACCCAGACGCGGTCGAACTCAACACGTACAGCCCGACAGTAACGACGCAAAACTTGCAGGTGATCGATCCTCCAGTGTGCGGCCTCTCGAAAAATGCCAGGTTCTTGCGGGGACTTGCAAGCCGCGTTCATGCAATCAGCTCCCCTGTTTCGTGCTGGTGGCAAGCTGTACGTTCGGCAACCTCGCAGCGGACTGCCAGGGTTAGAGACCGAGCAGCTCGTGGAGATCGTGTGCGGCGTCTACGGTTTGGTGGACGGCCCAGTTCACTGGAGGCAGACGCTGAAAAAGTACATTATCGAAGAGTTGCATTATAGGCAAAGCAAGCTGGACCCCACGGTGTTCCTTTTGAACTATGAGGGCCAGCTTGAGGGTGTCATTGTGATTGAGATCGATGACGTGCTTGCCTTTGGCTACGGGATCCACGACGCAGCGCTGACAAGGCTGCGGCAAAAGTTCAAGTTCGGCAAGTTCAAGAAGCTGCAAGAGTTGACCGATGGCACTACGTTCAATGGCCGGCGCATTCGGCAGACCTCGGACTTTCAGCTCCTTGTGGATATGGAGAAATATGTCCAAGAGCGGCTCTTCCCGATGAAGTTGGAGAAGGGTCGCCGAAGCAACCCGGATGCCGAAGCCACGGCCGAGGAAAGGCAAAAGGCCCGTGCCGTCATTGGGGCGCTGGCCTGGGCAGCGAAGGAGGCAAGGCCGGACGCGGCAGCAGCGGCGTCGATCATGGCGAGCCGCCTTCCTTCGGCCAAGGTTCGCGACTTGGCAGAGCTGAACAAGGCCGTAGAAGCGGTCAAGGCGAACAGCCAGCTTGAGCTGAAGTATTTCCCCATACCGCCGGAAAGCCTGGGATGGGGAACAGTCACAGACGCTTCCTGGGCCAACCATGCAGATGGCAGCTCACAAGGTGCCACGGCGGTGATCGCTTTCGACAAGAAGCTGTTGTCCGGCGAGAGAGCACAGTGCAGTTTGATCTGGTGGAAGTCTGGAAAGCTACGCCGCAAGGTGGGTTCCACTCTAGCAGCCGAGGCTCAAGCTTTGAACAAAGGCCTTGGTGACCTACTCTGGGCTAAAGCTATATACGCAGAGTTGCTGGAGCCCATGTTCGACCTCGAGACCTTCCGGAGGGATGTGAAATCCCGCGCCGACGTGGTTCTGCAGAAATCCAATGGCGATGAAGTACTTCGAGATTCCCTTTCGGTCATAGACGCCAAAAGCCTATACGACAACCTTATGCGAGAAGGGAACCAGCCGCAGGACAAGTTCACGGCGCTGGACGTAGCCATCGCCCGGGAGAAAATCGACGGGCTCGGCGTACAACTGCGCTGGGTGGAGCACCAGAGCATGATCGTCGATAGCCTCACCAAGGTGAATGCCAACAAGGATGCGCTTTTCCAGTTGCTCTCTTCAGGCACTTTTCGTTTGGAAGCTGAAGAAGACTTTTTAGAAGACCGACTGACGCGTCGGCAGGAAGGGCGGGTGAAACCCCGCTGATCACCACAGGTCAGCATAGTTTTTGGGAGCTGTGAATCAGCTTGCTGGCGGCTTGTGATCCTTAGCCGCTCCTGACCTGTGGCCATTGGCTCTGTACGTTAGGGCCCTTGAGTTTCTAAGCTACTGTGTGCGGAAGGAAAAGCTAGAGAGCAGTGCGCGCCATCGTTTCGAAGCCTTCGCGGTGTAAAGTGTCATCAGAAGAAATGGGAGTGCAAGAAATGCAGAGGAGCCACCAGCAGAGTAGCCTTCGCTTCTTCCCAGTTCAGCAACACATCTGTGCCGCAGACTAGATTCTCTACAGCGGATGCTTCGCTGGCACCCTCGAGCTCAGCTTTGACAAAGTCACTTCACCTTTCCTTGGCAATGCCAGGATGGATTGCAGAGATTGCTTTGGGATCTCGATATCAGAAAAGGCCACTGCCTGAGAGAGTTTGCTGCGTCCTGCAGCCATGTGATGTAGCTTCTAAGCACACTTCTGTTCCAACTTGCATGCTCGTGAGGGGTGGCTTGGCTCTGGCCCCGCACTGCCCTGCACTGCGCTTCCAAGGCTTTGGGGAGCTGAAACAGCTTCTGGAAAAAGCTCGAATGCTCAGCAGCGATGAGTTTGGAGGGAGCAAGGCTGCCAAAGGGGCTCATAGTCTGGCGCATGGCGATGGACATTTGTAGCAGATGGACACTGGAGTCAGCTCGGCTGTATCTGAGTCTAAACAACTGAACAACCCACCTCTGATGGGCGAAAGGGTACGACATGGTACGACCTGCGTACAGCAATATGTTGTTTGAAGACTGCCTGCGCTGGGACGCAGGTGACCCTTTCAACGTTAATGCACTTGCTGCGCTTCATCTCCCAGAAGGGACTGCGGAGCGCCTTTGGCAGGGAGAGCGAGGCACTGACGATCTCGAGCGGGAGGGCAGCGCCGCAGGGGTAGACCACGAATGCCTTCGAGGACCAGAGCCCATCCTGTATAGTAGAGGCCCTAGCCCTGAAGCTAACTAGGCAGCTTGGTCATATCAGGGGCAGAATTTGTTCACTGCCGCAGGCCTTCTACGCGGAATCCTGTTGCCTGGCTGAATTGCTTTGGAGCCTGCGTCTGCATGTAAGTCGTAGGTATCGTCATCTCGAATGCCTCAAAGTTGGCACTGCCTGACAGGCACAGAGGCCGACTTGGCAGGCTACCGCGATCTTTTCCGAAAGCTGCGGAGCTCGGAAAAGCCGCTTGGTCTCGAGGATGCAGATCGATTTCTGCGGCGAGCAGTCAAGTGATGCAGTCGGTCTATACTGGGTTAGCTTTCATCATGGCAGTGCGTCTTCCTGCGATGCAACAGATTACATCTGGCCAGCGTGGCAAATTCATCCCAGCCCCTGCTGCGCAGACCTGCGGATGCAGAGACTTCTGGTCGCTCAGCCCAAAGATTAGACCTTGGGGGCAAGGGCCAGTTGCGATCATCCGTTGAATCAATGTGGCTGTGCTTCAACTACTTGTTGGGTTTGAACGTGCTTCGGTTTGGTCTTAAGCTGAAGATCGCCAAGGGCCAAGCTTTCTTGCACACATCTGTGGTGAATGTCTATGTGTGTGTTGTTGCTTCTGAGCGTGCTGGAGCTTTTGCATCATCAAGTCAACGGTGGGCTCATGCAGACGTTTAAGGTGGCTTGCTGCACGATTTGCCACCTAATAAGATAGACCGCACAGCAGGTAGGTATGGTAGCATGCTGCATCTGAGAATGCCTGCAGGGAACTTTCTAGACTGTCGCAGGCATGGCGAGAATGATTCGGAATGAATGGAAATTGATGTTGCGATGGTTTGCGGGCGCAATGTCATCTATACCGCATGCGCAAGCAAAACACACGAACTGGAGCCATGCAACACCCTTACACAACTCAGAATAGCCGTTTCAAGCCGAAGCAACACAGATGGGACAATAAAGGCGTACATCTATCAGGTTCAACAACCATTGATATTCTAGTGGAACAAAAGGCCAACAGCCTCCTCGAAGTTTCTCCACGCATCGTATAACTGGCCAGACATCTGGCATTCTCGGCATGGTGTGAGGGGGGTAGGGCGACGCAAACGCGGAATCCAGTTGTCGGTCTAATTAGTTTTCACTTTTTCCTTGATAGCATGTCTGTCTTCTTCACACTATTGCGACGTCACGAGGATCGGTGGCTTTGGTTGAGCTCCTCGCATCTGTTCTCGCTTTCGGATCCTGATTCATGTCTGCGATGCCTCAATGGTGCCAACACCGTGGCTTTGGGTTTGAACTCGCACCCATATCGCTGCAATGGATCAAAGCTGCCAAGAGTCACAGGGACAGGGTGGTATGCGCGATCGTGTTGTTTTTGCAAGTCTGCATGCACAAAGCCACACCGCTAGAGAGCCAAACACGAACCCCCCATACGACTTGCGCAAGACATGTTCCCAGAGCCTGAGAGCTGTGTTGGAAAGTTAATCAGAAAGGCCATAGGCAATTCGGCAATAGGCAATAGTCAAGTACTGGAAGTTGAGAACCAGGATAGCACGCGCACCGGCGAACAGTCGATCCGAACGACATCATAACTGAATCATGACAGGGCGGTGACATAAGACACCATGGGAACCGGGTTGACAAAGAAATGAACAAAGGATACCCGTTTGTGCATTGTGGTTTGTATAATTTGTATATTTGTATATTATATTATATTCGATTATATTATACTTCACCGCGAGCGCGCAAGGGTTTAATCAAGTAGAATGAATACAGAGATCATATGAGAATGGATCACGAAATATCACGAACAATGTAAAATTTGCAAAACCTAGACCTACAGACAGTATACCGTGTGAGCTCTGCGTCTCTCTGCCACACATGCGCGAAAGCTGCAACCATCTTGCAGAACCACGGCTCACGACAAGACACCTTCAAAACATATGTAGCGTATAGGTTCTGTATACCAAATAGGCGAAATAAAGGCTAAATGTTTATTTATAGTTATGCTGTATAGTATGATCAAGCTGTAAATATGTGACATGTAAGCTATAAACCTACCTGTCTATGCTATACAGTATGCAACCTGAGGCTCCAGTTCCAAGTTCCGAGGGAAGTCGGAGTCGGGTCTCACGGTCCCGCTCCTGACGCAGGAGGCTCAAAAGATGCGAGCAGGGGTCGTGGCAGTCACAGAAGCGCATCTGTTCGGATCACCTCCGTCTGCCGTCGCGAGACATCCGTGCTCTTGTTGCAGAGCACCCAGGCAACCTGCATCCCATAACGGGAAGCGCCGCATACGGAAGTGCAACACTGGCCGGACTCTGAGCCGCAGTTGGGCTAGTGACTCCGGCAAGCTCTTGACTAACCTCTTTGTCCTCACAGGGCTGCAGGAGGAGTACCCAGTGGTCGTGCAGAAGATCAGGCTCCCAGCATGTACTCTGCATCCAAGTGTTGTACCTGGACGCTCGCTTGATTTAGAGACACAGAGAGTCGCAGAGCGAGAAAGACACTTTGGAGAGGATGTGACAAAGAGAAGGGCTGAGGCCACGGGCTCAAGTCCGCCGCATTGGCCTTGAGCAGAGCTCCAGGGAGGGAGGGAGGGCCTATCCAAAAGTGTGCAAGGCTTCGGGACAGGCCTGCGTGCGCAGGGGCATGCAGTGCACTTGTGACTTGTTTGTCATCTCCCTCCCGCCACCGAATTAACCGCGCCAGTGTCTGTGAGCGCGCAGGAAGAGGGCCCAAGGGACACCCTCCTTACGGTCCTTACGGCCTGCCAGAAAACGCGAAGACCCACAAATGAATGCAGAGACACGGACACACAGCAGCACAGACATGCGGAGAGCGAGGCAGACAGACGGAGGCACAGAAATTAGAGACACAGACAGACAGGAGATACAGAACCTCCAGCTTGGGAGCATGGCTGCTTTTCAAAAAAGTAATGTGAAGCATTGGGTTCAGGTTTTGAATGAAGCCGCATCAGCGATGTGGGCTGATGTCCGATGTCTGCCAGGTCAGCTTTGGCAGTGCCGAGTTCGGTGCAACAGGCCCGGCCATGCGCAGCTTTCCCTTGAAATGCGTGCTTTAGGACTAGGCCTACAGCTGTAGGGAACATTGGGGTCACGTGCCTGCTGTGGCAAAAAAGTTCAAAGACTACTCAGTCCACAAATACGTTCTTTGACTTGACCCAAACGGGAACCGAGAATCCTTGGCTTGCGGAAAGGTCTCAGGTGCAGTTGCCGTGGGCTCAGCTGCGGGCGAATGCCCCCACATCGTGTGGGGATGCCGAGGAAACTCGTACTTGTTCCCCCATGGCAAGGTCATGAAATTTCTTCGGCGCCTGGGACACCGGTGTGGGGGCGGTGATCAGCTGTCTCCGCAGCAGCAGCCGAGCCCTCAACGTTAGCATCACTGAAGTGCTGTTGACTCTCGTTGGGCTGTGAAGTCTCGCGCTTACGCTTTGAATCCCTGGGAAAGCCTAGGGCCGAGCTGTGGAAAAAAGTCGAGGAGCTCAGCGCGAGCCTCAGAGAAAGGTTCCGGGGCCTTGGGAGGTTGAAGCCTGATTGCTTCGCGCGTATGTAGCATCTGCTCCAAGGGCACTCCTGAGCACTCCTCAGCTTTTTTTTCCTATGTGCAGTGCCAGACGGGAGAAACAAGCGGAATGGTGGCATACTGACAACATCTGACAACGACCCGTAGAGAGTGCATGCTGACACTCGTCATGTATTGAATATTATGTTGCATCGCGATGCCACGAAGCAAGATCTATCCATACCCAGCCCGCAATCGTCAACACCCGCGATTGGAAGAATCTGAAAACCTTAAACCCCCTATACCCACAACCCCAAAACCCAAAACCCTAAACCCTAAACCCTAAACCCACAACGCCAAAACCCTAGACCCTAAACCCACAACTCCAAAACCCTAAACCCCCAAACTCCAAAACCCTAAACCCCCAAAGCCCTAAACCCTCCAAGACAGGACTAAGTTGCCCAAGCCAGCCCAGGCGTGAGCAAAGAGGCTCTGGACATGCTCAGCTTCGCAGCCTTTGCCCGGCGCCAAGTTTTGTGCGATCCATACCCCATGCGGGGGACTGGCTACGGTCGTTGTTGGATCAGTTTCTGATTTCAGGTTTGATTCGACAGCAGAACTGCTTTCTCAGTTGGTGTCAAAGACCTTTGGGACGTCGCTCTTGGAGTGATTTCGGGTGGCTTCTGATTCGGGTTTTGAAACGGATGGTTGTTCTGACTCAACGCACACACGTACTGGTAGTGCCTATCGCAGGCTCATGTACTTGCATCGCAGATGATGTTGTCCAAGTGCAGGAAGTTTCACCTAGGTGCGCCTCCTGGGCTGGGTCCGCCGGTCGGATTTTGCATCAATCCGACACCATTCCGACAAAGTCGGCTCGTTTTTCCGGCTGGCCGAGTCCGTGGAAATCTAGGGTTTCCGTCATTCAGGACCTGAGGCGCCCGTGGTTGAAATCTTGCAATGTGGCTGCCCTGCTGAACTAGCTCGATTTCCATCTGCCGTATTGGCGGAAGGACTTGTTCCAGCCTTTCATTTTAGATGTAAAGAGGTTTCTTAAGGTGCCTGTTGAGTGTATGCGCTCTGAAGATCAGATGCGCTGCGGTTTCAGCACCCATGGTCCTTGCCGACATGGGGCAACGCTAGGTGTCCCCTCGGAAGAAGGAAGATCAGATTGACACCGGTACCAGCCTAACGGGACGTCTCAACGCAACAGTCTGTGACACCTTCCATTCGTTCTCTTTGCCAACACTGCCGGTCTCAACGGGTTTACGCCCGAGGCCCATGAGGGCAGAATGACAAAGGAGGGCACACATGTTCAGTAGTGATGTTGTGTTGCGTGGGGTTGAGCAAATTGGATCGTGGCTCCCAAAGAGTCTTGGCTCGCCACATCTCGCCACGCTCCGGATGGTTGTGTGTATATGGGCGTTCGGCCTTCCATAATTCTTGTGGTAACTGCAGTCACTTTCGACGAACTTCTTGGGATGTGGCTAGACGGATCAAATCTGGCACCGCGACGCACGTTGCCTGCGAGCTGCATCCTAGAATAGAGAAATCGCTGCCCAGCGATTGTGCAGGGGCTAAGCTGCAACGAGGCATGCGGTCTGAAAACCCGTCGCGAGAAGTTTGTGTTGCTGCCAGCAAATCAGTCTGTGACGGAACATGATTTGCTGAAGACTTCATGCAGTACGTGGAGGCCAGTTAGAGGCCGTGAGAGCAGGGTTTCAAGATGTTTCAGGAAAGCAGCCAGTCAAACCTACTGTGTTGCTCCCAGTGGTAGAGTGGACAGAGCTGAAGGTGAAAGAAGCCTGCAAGCATGTGAGCATCCCGAGAACCTAAGTCAGGATGCTTCCGAGGATGCCAGTGTGTGAAGGAGCGACCGCAGCGAACACGGAAGCCACTGGTGAAGTACGCAAACAGTTGTTGGTTTCGATAAGTGGAGAACCGAATCAAATCTCGAAGAGTCAAAAGGTCAAGAAGTCGAACAGTTCTCGACTTTTAGTTTAGCGTTTTTCTGCATTCACGCACTTTCAGGTACTTTTGGGTTTCTTTTCTGTGCATTTTGGGTGTTTTTGTTCGGCTTTTCGCGTCCATCTGAGCTTTTCGAAGTGCTCGGTGCTTTTCGGCTTCTCGACTCGTCGCTTTTCGCTGCACTTGTCGATTTCTTCAGGTTTTCATGCACAAGCTTCAGGCCAGGCTAGGCGTAGACTTGGGCCCAGGGCTGGGCTCTGGGCCTAACGAGGCCCGGCGCGAGTGGGGTCGGAGCTGGCACCAAGGGGCGTAAGTGCAGATTTGCAGGCCCAGGGCTAGACCTAGGCAGGTCCAGAGGTTGGGGTGGATAGACAGGTAGGCAGAGGGCTAGCTTGAGGTAGGCCTGCGGCAGCAGTAAGACGAGTAGCATCTGATTAGTCGTAGTAGTAGTGTCATTAATCGTGGCAGTAGCTTTCAGCAGAATCGCCTAATCGCAAACTTTGTTGAATTTCAGACCATTTCGGGTTCCGCCCAATCCGCCAATAAGTAGCCCAGAGATGGGTATGTTGGCTGAGTTTTCGGGTTTAGCGAGCTCTTCAACTGTGCTCCTCCAATGTCGTATTGACAATTTGCTTTTTTCCAGCAAACACTAAGGCAGCCAAAACATACAGAATTTTGGTAGGCTGCTGGGGTCTTAGGAGCCACCCAGTTGCATATGTCAAGTAAAAACTTGTTTCTTATATAGGTTTTTCCGAAACACCCAGAGGTAGCAGAAGCATTGTAACATAGGCAGTTTTCCATTGTTCGGTTTTGGTATACTTCGGCTGATTTGTTAAACAGGCTTGCAAATTTCAGTGATTAGGTATCCCTAAAGCACCTAAAACCAACGAAGCCATTCGTATTTTGGTGCATCTTCGGAATTTGGACCCAGTATCCAAGGAGTTTTGAGCATTTCGCGTGTCCACATGCGCCAACCAAGAACCTTGTGCGCCAAATTCCAATGATTTCTTCTGATTTTGAGCATCCTCGAAGTACCTGACATAAATTAAGCCATGGGCATGTTTGGTTTTTCTGGGTTTGAGGAACCCGTAAATGGTACCTTTCGGTGACTTGGAGCATCTCGTGGTTCCGACAGCACCAAAAGTTTGACAAGACAACGGCATTTGAGCCAATTTTCCGGTCTGGGAGCCACCAAATGGCAATTTTTGCTGAGATTGCCTCCATGTCGGGTTTCATCCAAGCAGCCAATAGGCATCCAAAGCATTCCAAGACATAGATGCTTTTGGCTGGAATCCGGATGGAATTGACCAGACTTGTTGAGTTTTCGCCGGTGGCTTTGGATTTTGCACATTTTTGGATGCGTTGGTTCGACTTTTCGAGCTTTTTGCTGTACTTTTCGCGGCTTTGCCACTTTTCGTTTTTTGCAGTGCCTTTCGACTTTTCGCGGCTTGCCTTGACTTCTCGAGTTTAAGGCTTCGTGCAAAAGCTTAATCCAATGCCACTTTTGGCTTTTCGGCTTTTTGCGTGCCGTTTGCATTCTCCGCTTATCCGCGCCCACAGCCATTTGCAAGCACAACACGAAGCCCACCCCAAATTTGCCATGCAACATTTTTGGTAACATGCCTTTTGTTGGACATTTTGCGTTGTTTCGCTTCTGCGAGAGTGCTCCGCCATCTCTCAGACATCAGACACGTCCATTTCGACAAGGTGAAAGCCTGGGAATCTTTGCAGAGCACGCGCCAAGCATCAACTCAGCAAGCAGAAACAGTGCACGCCCACGTTGCGAGTGCTTGTCGAGCTGTGCTTGCAGGCAGGGTCTCGGTCATGGCATTGGTTTTTTGCTGTGTATGAGATCGCATGGAGCATGGTTGCTGGATGCTCGGTCCAGTTCTTGAGCTTTGCGTTGGGCGAGTCGATTTTGTAATCGACTGTGAGGCGACGGAATCGTTGTGATTTCAGTCTTGCAGAGTTGAGCTTAAAAGCAGGTGACTGCTGGCACATCTCATGGAGGACGGGTCTGCGAGCAAGGTGCAAGATTGCATGGCGAGAGATCGCGAGTCTCGCGAGTGCGGCTCCAGGGTTGGCCATGTGATCTGCATCATGCCGCCAGGACAGGGACCCAGGTCGCGGCGTGGCAGTGCTCCAGGCAAGTTGCAAATGACGCTGTATTCCCAATTCCGTAGCGCGGCCCGGTGTCGTCTTGCAAAGCAGATTCCGGCACATGGTTTATTCTGATGCGTTCCCCAGCTTGACTTGGATCGGGGTTCTTATGAATGAGATTAGTTTGCCATGGAGGAAACATCCGGCAATCATGCTTTGGCAGCTTTGGTCTAGCTGACAAGACATGTGGCACCTCAGACGCAGTCCTCAATATGTGCCTTAGCCTGAAAGTTTGACGGCATCGTAAGTTTGACGGCTATGAAACAGTATCACAGCGACACCTGCAACAGCAACCGAGGACAGTTGAGCAGGTTCTGACTCTTGTGCTTAGAAGTGCATCAGCTGGGCAAAATCGAGCAAAGTGAGTGACTCCGTTCTTTGCTTCATCTCAACCGCTTCAGAACGGGACTCCCCTCCTTCACAGCTGGCCTGTCCGTTTTGAGAAGTTCCTTAGCAGCTGGCAGGATCTGCTGCAGCGGCCAGGACCCGATGTGGTCCGCTGGGCCGTGGAGCAGGTCATGACCTGCTACTCTCTTCGTCCTTATAAGCTCTCCGCGAAAGTGTGTCTTGACCCACAGGCGCTGGCCCTGAAGTCCCCGAGAGTCTGCTCTTGTAGCAGCGAGCGTCTCCTCTAGGCCTCAGGCCTCAGGTGCAGTCAGCAGTTCCTTCGGACTCTCGAGGCGCAGTCGCTGGCACGGCCCGGGACGAATGTGCAGCAATCGCAGATCTTCCAAATGGCAGGCTCCTCCAGAAATAGTGACGTGTCATGAAAGCTCCTCGTCCTCTTCTCAAACCTAACCAAATGTCGACTTGCAGGCGCTCTGAACGCGGCATCTGTCCAAGAGAAGCAGGCACTGACGCTCGCTCACCATCTCACGTTCTCGTCCCACTCTCAGCCCATAGGAACTGGTGCGTGCCGCCATCTCTGGCTTCGGACAGCTGCCGGCAGATCAACGAGCGGAGGCCCCGCGGGTTTGAGCCCGTTTGGAGTTGTGTTGCAGTTTAGCTGCCGTTGACTGCCTTCCTGCGCCGACTCGCAGCAGTAGATCTGACCTGTCCTGGAAGAGGCACTGCGACTGGTGGTCAATACGGCAGCGGCAGCACAGGTCGGGCACACAATGCAGAAATTCACGATGCTTCGTAGCCTCATCTTTCGTTATCTTGCAGCTTAAGGCAGAGTTTATAAATGTGATTGTGAGAAAGCGGCTGGCAGCTTGGATTCTGTGCTTGTTTGTCGGCTTCAAGGTTGGCCCGCATCCCACGGCGGCCTGGCTATTGTCTGCGGCAGCGTTCATGCCAGATTCAGCTCTCGAGAGATTCTGCCAGAACTTGTCGACAGTGCAGCTTTGTTGACTTTGTGAGAAGCCGGCGCCTGCCGGCAAACTGGACTTAATGATTTCATGTTCACCTGGCCAGGCAGAGGGCGAAGTCCCCCCCCTGATGCAGGCCAGTGGGCAGCCACTCAATGATTTACATGTCAGCTCTATTTTTAGGTACGAAACTCCAAGATACGGTGACAATGCTACACTTGCAGTCCTAGCTGTACACATTTGTCCAGAAGCCTTCCAGTTGAGACGTGGCATATCTTACTACTCCTTAAAACCTACGGGCTGTGAGAGTTGGCGAACCATCCAGCCGGCATGAGCGGCTGGCCTCATAAGCTTTTACTGCGCACGCCTGCCTGACACTGCATGTGTGGAAGAACGTCATGGCGGTCGTGAAGGAGGCGAAGCTGCATGAGATGCCGAAGGAGGACATCTGCGTACCAGTTCCGCTCGAGTCCGAAGCCTGAGGTCTATAGGGGCTCAAGACTAGGGCGACTAGGGACCTTGCATGTCTGTGTTAGTAACATGCGATGCAGGAGAAGGCGATCCTGGCACAGGCCACGACTTCTCCGTGGAGCCCTTCAGAGATGTGGCAGTGCCTCGTTGGCCCTGCTCTTTTCCCAAGTGCAGCCTCCGAACACATTTCTCTGGCTTGCTTTCTGTGCCTGATCTGTAGTTCCGTCAAGCTGTGACTGTGTCAGGAAGCCCGCCAAGATGCGGCAGAAATGGTTCAGCCACAGCAGATTCTGGAGGCCGGCATCCAAGGCATGCAGCCAAGTAGTTTTCACACGCGATGTTGGAACAATTTGGGCTTCGGGTCATGGACATGCTCTGGACAAAGGGGGCATTACAACAATTACTTCGGGTGCTTTCGATGCGGTGTCTCTCTGTGTGTGTGTGTGCGCGCATGGTATGCGTACGTATTCCGATGGTACACCATTCAACCATTAGGCCGTTCGTCATCCGTTGGTCCACAGGCCGATTCGTTCACTCCTCGGGTAGTTTAGTGGCAGTGGTCCTCGAGTGGCTTAGAGGCTGGCTCCCCGCGTCTGTCGGGCCGGACTCATTGCGATGTCAGGAAGTATTATGGCAGGCAGGACCTTACATCTTAACAGGTTTCTGCGCCTGTTTACGGAATGCCAAGATAGTTGCTGGGATAACCATAGAACTGTGCAGTCTATGCAGAATTACATTCCAAGATTAAAGAAAGTCCGTCGTACGGGTAAAGCAGATAAATCATCTGGTATTGAAATGAGTCGCGTGCAAATGCTATAGGGGCGGAGGGCGGGAAACTGAGCCATGAATGCAGCACTTTGCCCGAACCGCTCGTAGATTCAGAGTTATTTTGGGGACTCTTCTGTGCGCACGTGCCTTCGAGTTGTGCTTTGACCCGGTGCGTTCATGAACAACCATCTGCATTTTTTTGCGTCGTTTTCAAATCGCATGGAGATCTTGTCGGCTGCGGATTGCTCCAGGATTGCACAGGGCATTGCATCTAATCATATCTAACACAATCGATTCACCTTCATTGCCAATGCCTCCAGGCAGACATCTATCCCTTCCCCAATTCGCCACAGGTCGTCTCGGAGTTGAGACCAGAAGAACGACATCAAGTGACTGAGGTTACAGTCTGCAAGGGTTGTCGTTGCGAAGATGCATGTTTGCACTCTGCCCGCAGATCTTCTGAACTTGATGCTGCTTGCTGCGCGTGCATCCAGCAGCATTTCGATCGACAGATTGGTTCAAGGTGTAGCTAGAAGATTGTAGAAGAATTATTGGCGCAGGGCGGTTTTCTGCCATCGCAATGGCCGCAGCCACAGCTGTACACACGGCAGCACCATGCACTGCCCAATCCCCAGTACTTGTAGCTCTGGGCCACGTCTCTGCAAGATCGACAGATGTGCAGGAAACGAAAGTTGTGCTCTGTGCTGTTTCATGGCTGGCGTGGGCAGAAGCACACTCGAGGTTACTGCAAGTACGATGCTTTCCCCTCAGCCAATTCCTGCTGGCCTCGGATGTTGCTGTAGACCTGCGTGGAGCCGCATAGGGTGCAAGCACGACAGACCCGCTTGCTCGCTGTCGGCCGAGACATATCAGCAAGATTGATCAGGAGCTGGAGTTGCAAAAGCAACTGAGGCGGCCTGTTTACGCCGGCAGTGGGAACGGGCCGCACACTGAAGCACAGGTATGCATAGCATGGGCGTCGAAGTCGTCAGTCAACTGCTCTTGAATTCACAACTGCGTCTGAGTTCCTTCGTTCCAGCTGCGGCCATGCCGCAGGCAGGACCTGGCGAGAGCAGAGAGCAAGGAGCGAAGATTCATGGAAGCCCTGAGCATTTCAGTGCACTGCAATTCGTTGTGACTGTCTGCAGATATTTTGCAGGTGGTTTCAGCAGGGCTCGCACCTTAGTCTCGTCCGTGACCCGATGCATCCCGAATCCCTGACTCTACGTGCTTGCCTGAACACGCCGGGAAGGTCAGAATCAGCGCAACTTCATCATGGAACATAGTTGAGACATGTTGGGACGGCAGATTGCTCCCAGCGCCGCTTAAAGGTCCTATGCGCCTCCAGTGGTTGCGCACCCGGGAGCTGCGTTGCTAAGCCGCAAGCAGCAGCATCGGGACTATTCTACAACTAACTGTACGTCACATGCCAGTAGCATGACATCAGGATTGTTGGGTTTAAAAGCTTGCGTCGGTGGAATCGGTATGTTTGCGTTACTTTCTACTTCCGCGAAACAGCGAAAAAATGCGACTGCAAGTCGTCGAACAAACTCTGAATGAGGTTGTTCATGGGGTGGTGTGGACAGTTTCTTCATGTTTGCAAAGAATGGTGCGGACACTGTGAACCTCCAAACTGTGACTCCCAATCTACTGGAAGCTGGTGAACTGCAGTGCCGGCGACTCCGCGATGTAGCGATCGGAATTATCTGTGCAGCGATTGTCAACGTATCTGCAACGAAAGATCAGAGTCTCAGCTGGCTTCGGAAAAGAACTTTCGAGCTTTCATGGCACATCTGTTCCTCAGCTGCATCGTCATGAAACACTTCAACCAGGCCACGTTCAGGAGAGCATGACAAAAATGGGTGATTCAAAGTTGAAAGCCCATAATCGTTTGCGGAAAGTGCTCATGCTTGCGGTGGTGTTTCAAAAATGTGCGATTAACCACATTTGCATCCAGAAGGTGGCATGTAGCTTTTTCCGCAAAGACGACGGCACCAAAGCACAAGATGACCAGGCTCACGATCTTGAGAGTGCACAACTACCGGACCAAGAATATGACAGAGACGGCACACTGCCCACCACGTGTGACCAGTGGACTGCGCTTGCTGACAGAATCCTTGGACACTGAGCAAACAGCCTTCCACGACCGTTCGTCCTGTTGCTGGCTTCGCAACCGGTCGCAGCAGTTTTCCTTCTGAGATTGATGTTGGGTGTGGAGATGCTTCTTGTGCCCTTGGACAAACATGTAGAGAGAAGAACCGTCTATGCGGGTTCCGCGGGAGGAATTCTGCGCTGGCCATGCGCAGGGTGTGGGATCTGGGTTCTGGGTCGACGCCTCGTGCCATGTGCTTTTTCGCGCATCCGAGAGCTTTGTTGCCTCGTTGTTCATGTTTGTTGCTGTGGTCGTCGCTGTGCTCGTGCTGCTTCTGTACTGCTTGTGCTGCAGCCTTCTGGTGGTGCTGCTGCTACTGCAGGAGCGGTGGCTGGGGCGGCCTCTCTAGTTGCTGGCATAGTTGCTTTTTCTTTTCAGTGGCCTTTGCCGTTGCTGCTGTAGTTTCGAATGGTGCTTCAGAATTCTTGATGACATGTGGGCCCCCAGGTATAGTTTTCTGGAGAATATCTTCAGTCTGTTGTTACGAGAGCGTGTCTTTGATTCAGCTGGAGTTTGGGTTTGCAGAATCCTTGGAGGACGGGAAGGAAGAGCCGACCCTTTGAAGTTTCAATCTTTTTGGGTGCTGCTGCCCTCACCCCCCCCCGTGCCTTGGTGGATTCGCGGAAACATGCGGAAACGCGCGGCAGGCTGCGCATTTCAAGTCCAAAGACGGTACAATGACAGTGTCTGCACCATGTGACCAAGGGAGCATTTGACAGTTGCTTTTGGGCATGCTGCCCATCGCACCGCCGCAACTCCGCCGTTACTGACTAGCTCAGCAGCCTTCTCACGTTTTCGTGCTTTGCTGCTAGTGCGCAGTGGCGGGGCTGACGATCGTCCTGCTGGTGATGCAAATCATTTATCTTAGGCCATCTTAGGCCCTTCTTAGGCCTTTGCTGCTGAGCATACCCCACGCCTGCTACAGCACTCTTTGCTGCGACCTCTTTCTCTACGGTGCCCCCCATGATTGCTTAACATGTCACCATGTCGCCTTTGCACGGCAGGTTATTAGAGTTGTTGCATGTCTGTCAGGTCTGTGAACCTCACAGACGGCATACCGGACCCAGAATCCATTGAGCAGCGTGGTCACCCGGAGGGAAGCAGTTGCAGCTGCCTTTGCTTTGGGATGAACCCATCGTCTGATGAAGCCGTTCTGGCCGAACGCCAGCTGAGTAGGCTTGGGGCGATGCTAGACTCACTAGACTACTAGACTTCTCGTGTTCGGTTTCAATTTTCGATCCTCGTCGGCCTTGCATGCGTTGCATCCGTGTAAGCACCCGCAGGTACGATGCTTTGGGATGCTTTGACTGCCTGTGTGATTGGATGATATTGCCCAGTGCCAGTGCACTTCAGCTGTGCAGCCCGTACAACACACTCTCCGTTCCCGCACGATTCGAGGCAGAAGCGTGCTTACGAGCGCGGGCTGGATGCGGAGCTGGAGCAGTCCCGATCCCAGCGAAGCCGAATGCAAGTGACTACGGACTCGTCTGCTTGAAGGGCCTTTGTGGATTCTCATCGTATGAGGTTAGGTTACCCAAACCTCAGCAGTTGGAGCTTGATGAGCTTGGCAGCTCAGCAGACCAAAGCATGGCCTAAGAGCCTCGATCTCGAGGTTGAGACACGAAGCATCGTGAATGAAACTGTCACACGTCATTTTTGGCCATCTCAGACTTTCATCTCCCATCTTCTCAAAAGGAGCCGAAGTGTTAAGATGGCCAGTCCTATCACCGAGGACACGGAAACTGGCAGAAGAGCAGCTGAAGCAGTCCTACCTGCCAAGTTGACACGAAGAAGTAGAAGCTATAATGCTCCAAAAAGCACCGGGCCAGGCAGAAGGCAGCCATTAAGGCTGCAGCAGAGCAGCAGTTGGCCATGTACAAGGCACAGCTTCTGATAGCCTAGGGCCTAGGGCCTAGTTGCCACATGCACTTGGCTTATCAGATGCGATCTCCAAGATTGGCCCTTTCTCTACCCCTACTCACCGCGACCTGTAGCACAGGAGCCTCATAGGGCAGAGGCACTGCGTGGCACTGCGTGGCATCGCAGGCCCAGGTCGACCAGTCGATTCGGCAACAAGAGCTCAGCCCAGTTCTCGGCTAAAGCTTCTCTCGGACAGACAGACCGGCATGCATTCCGAAGAACAGAGGCCTAGACCACCAGTGGCAGCAGCAGCAGATGGAACTGCAGCAGGTCGCCAGGGATGTACCGAAGATGGGTAGGCCGAAGGAAGCACAGTGGCAATTCAAAGAGTGTTCTAAGACCTTGGGGTGTTCTGCTCGGTACTCGTTCCACAGGCATTTCTGAAGCAGAAGGCGGCACTGGAACAGCAGGCATGCGCCTTAGAAATTTTACGGGAGTTCGAGACCATGCCCACTAGGTGCTGCTGCAGACTGTCGTTGATCAGATTAGTTTTTGGGTGGCAAGTGCTTGCAGCTTGTTCAAAGATGTTCAGGCCAGCTCCTTAGCCATGGAGTACCAGCAGCGCAAGATGCACGAAGAGCTTCTCAAAAAGCAGGCATTTGGTCGGAGGGGGCTCGGGGCTCTCTGTTTTCGGTGTCTAGAACCGAAGCCAGGACATTGCCAGCAAGCAGAGATCCAGTATGGCAGAATACGACAGTATTCTAGATTTACCGGGTGATTCTCGCCGCCGTGGATAGGCGGAGATGCAGCGCGAAATGCAGGAGATGCAGCGGCGGATGCATATGGACTGACGGGAAAGGGACTTCGGTGTCTGGATTTGCGCGAGTGGTGGGTCTTTGCTTTCTGCTGTTGGCGGACGGACTAGGAAAGAGAGCGCATAAGAAACGTAAACACTTCTTGTGCTTGGAATTCTCGCAGCGCATCGATTGGCTGTTCAAGGCCAACAGGTTGTGGCATTGAGCCAGAAGCCTCAAGTTCTGGAGCGAACACTCGACGAGATCTGATGCAAAGAGTGTTCCAAACTATTCAGAGGAGGTTACGTCGGTTACGTTCAGTAAAGGCAATCTGAAGCCGCTCCTAGGCGGAGACCTGGGGCCGTAGCGTGGGTCTTTCTGGAACGTTTGTGCTTGTATTCTTTCACTGCAGCGAAATTCAGTCGTTGATGAGGATGCTAGAGCAGCTTCGGGAATGTCTGCAGCAAGAAGAGTCGTAGAGTCATAAACTTGCGACCCAAACAAGGTGCTCGTGCCGGTGGTTTGGAGAGGTCTGGCCCCGCCTTGACCCCTCCCCTTCCGCTTGTGCTGGACTAGTGGATGCTATGCTTGCTGTTCTGCCCCCACGAAATCAGGGAATGTCACGAGTCGCAAGGCTCAGGCCGCTTGACCTCCCCGTTTTCCTGTTTGGACGGCCTTGTTCGTCGGACGGAGAACTGGATCAATTTCTGCTTTCGCTACGAGCTCGAAAGTTCGGGATCCGTCAACTGCTCTGCACTGCTGCCGGCGGCCGACAGTAGGTGGTGGGTTGACTCCAAGGACCACTGCTGGTGACCCAGCAGTGGTTTGCAGTCTGGCACGATTTGGATCGCTACTCGCCGGTGCTGGGTTGTTGGAGCGTGTGCGGGATTGTGCTGGCTTGGCAGCACGTCTGACAACGGAAAGGTGATCAGTCCAGCCTGGTAAGCAAAAGTCTGGTCCAGCCTGGTTAGAAAAGAGTCTGCTCAACTTATGTTTGTTTCTTGTTCAAGTTGTAGAGTGTCGATGTGTCATCGATGGTAACTGGTGGGTTCTGGACTGACCTCTCGTTTCATCCAGCCGCGGTCTTTCATACCGAGGACATCCCAAGTGTTTCCGAATCTTTAACTGCAAAGTCACAGAATAGAAGAAAGAGGAGCTGGTCATGGGCTGGTTGCATACTATGTCTCTTCTTTCCGAACCACGAAAGGAAAGTGCTGCTCTTGAGAGTTGCGAGTCTGCAGGAGTTGCAGGATCACCAGCAGCAGCGGCCCATCCTATGTTTCGAGAGCTGACTTCGGCTGAGATGAGAGATTGCAGGAAGCTGTCGGCCTTACAGCTCAATTTCCCGGTGCTGCCGTACTGTTGCTACGGATTGCAAGCCCTACATTGAAATGCCTGGATGTTCCCCGATGTCAAGCACAAGATGTCGTTTGGTCCTGTGCCAGGCAAACCAGCCTCCAGCAACAGCACGCTGTGCACAACCTCAGCCATAACGGGAAGGATGCCGTGGCTTTCTGCAGTACAGTATCGCTTCTGTTTCATTCCATCCGAATAAGATTCAGAGAAATGATCGAATATCTATGGCCGGTGAACAAAGTTCTGCCCGCTTTCAGGCCAATGATCCAGATAGTAGATTTCAATCCGAGGCCGGAGAAATCTCCACCCATACCCAAATCATAAGTCTATTACGGTAAGTCATAAAGACGCGAACGGTCTTAATTTACGGTTTGAAAGGCGACAATTTCAAACTATATCGACCTAGAAACCTTTTGAGAGTGACTCAGATACAGTCTTATGTCGGAGCGCAAAACAGTACTCGTGGCGACATCGGTGATGCGGTATCGACAACCGTGGCAGCCAACTGTAGCTTTCCGGCCGACGCTTCACCATCTCCAAGTTTAGCTGATCGTTAACTTCGTCGGAAAATTGGACATCGGGGTTTGCTGCGAGACCGGCAAAACACTGCATGTCTGAAATTGGCCTCGGACCGGGTGCATTTGAAATCAGAGAAGCGTGATTCAGCAAACGCCGGCCGAAGTCGGCAAATCGAGTCAGCAAGCAGCCAGCTGCGAGTCAACATCTGTAGGGCTGCATGTCAAAAACCAGGCCCCCCAAAGGGTTTAGGGTTTAGGGTTTAGGGGTTTAGGGTTTAGGGTTTTGTGACTTCCGCCTCTCCTGTTTGCCGACTCTCCCCCTGATGTTTTTGACTTTCTTTGCTGATACCGGCCCTGCCCCATTTGAAATGGGCCTCCGAGGTGCAGCGGCAACAGCACCAGGAGGAGCTGGCTGCGCAGCAGGCGGCACTTCGAGTTTCGCACACGAAGCCATTCACGTTGGGATGCGGCCCCGACAGGCGAGGTACATGCAGACGCAAGCCCAGTCTCGGACTCTGAGCGCTGGAGAGCACAGTTACACAGCCGATCATCCATCCGATCGCAAAGTGGCAATCAGTGGGGTCCGGTCACGTCCTTTCCTGTGGCGTTGCATTTCAAAGTGAGGCTGCACACAAGCAGCGCACCCGCTGCCGGCGTCCCAGACTTTGCCGTTAAAGATGTCTTTACTCCGAACCCGAACAAGTGCTCTGAATTGGGCCGAGAGCCGGGTTATCTCAGTTATTTCTGTGCCTATTTGCATAGTGCATCATATCTCTGAGACGCAGCCGCTGTCAGTGTGGCCCTGCAAGAGAACATAACTCCACTTCAGCCACGGTGCAGGAGATTGGCTAGTTGAGTCTGCATGGTCCGATGTCACCATGTCCGTGCTGCCGGCTGCGCCGCCCTTGCAGCCTTCCACGTTCCCTGCCGCAAGAAGACCGGGAGTCAACGGCAGCTGGAACTAACACGACTTGGTCGATCATCAGCGAGTCTCGACCAGAGCTAAGGGCAGTGAAGTCAATGTCAGTGGTAGTAGACTTACAAACCTGGACCTTGCACCTGCATAACATGCATGTCTCCGATTCTGCCAATTAAGCAAGCTGAAGGTGCGGCGGCAAGTCGTGTCGTGCGATGGATGGCATCCAGGGCAGCCTGCCTCGCAGTATCAGTGAACTAATAAGGACAAACCCACCCGGCCGGAAATACATTTTGTGCTTGTATAGAATGTCTTTGCAGTTTGTGCAATGACCTGCAGCTGCTGCTCCAATGTGTGTGACAGTTTTGTCACTCTTTCTCATGCAGTGCATGCAGTCTCATCTGTGGGCTGAATACCTACTTGGTAGTGCGGTTTTGTCTTTCTTCTTTGATGTTTGCTGTAAATGAGGTATAACTGGTCCAGCGACGCCCGACCTCTTGTCGCGCCGTGACTCTTCTCAAATTGAAGCCTTTTTACAGGCTGTGCTTCAATAACTGCGGCATCTGGTGGTTTGTTTGATTTTTTTTGTGCCATGACGCGTGCGAATGCTTGGGCGGGAGAAAGAGACAGATGAATCAGTACCACGGACTGCACTGCGGCCTACTCGGGACTCTCGGTGGGTTTGTTGCCCCACATTTCCAACTTTCTGAACCCACCACTCACCACAGCCCAGAAGCTGTCCAAAAGAGTGTTTCGAATCATGAAAACAGGCGTTGGCCGGGCACTGCAGGGAACAAGTCAGAGCCGGTCTACTGTCGCAAGGACCCAGGGCTGCCCCTTTCATCGTCCCTTTGTACCGTTGGCATGCATACAGGACGTGCAGCAACATGATGGCCGAAACGGCTCAGTGTCTGGACATATTTTTGGACTTTTTGGCTTTTCTCCAACACCCCTTCCAAACAAGCTTGGGTTCAGTAGGCTGCTGACAGGTGTGGGTGACATACCGTGACGGAGTGTACGATGTCACTCAGTATCTGGAAAAGCATCCTGGTGGGAAGTTGATCCTGCAGGCGGCCGGTGGACCAGTCGACGAGTGGCCGCTTGGACTGACGGTTGCATAGGTGCGAGAAGAGCCCACCCTGGACATAATTGAATTTCAGAGGATTCTCGTTCGTCCCGAGGTTTCGACTGGGGGGGGGGGGGTAGGGGGGAAGTTGTATGCATCGCAGGTGGAAGTACTGGGCCCAGCACCACCTTTCCCCTGATGTGGCTGCAGCATTGGAAGCTTTGCGCGTGGGGCGGCTCCTCGACTACGAAGAAGAGGAGGACCGGAGGAGCTGAGGAGCTCGTGTAAGACCAAGCGGCAGTGCAAGACTTCGAGGACCAGGAGCGCTATGGCCGGGGAGTTTGGGAGCCGGAGCAGACGGCACCAGGCCGTGAGGAGTCTCGCCGCACGGGGGCCATTCTCAGCGCCTCGAACTCAAGCAGCTACTGCCTACAATGACTTGCAGCAATTGGAGGAAAGGTGGGCTACAAGCGGCAGGCTTGCACGCACGCGCACGCGCACGCACGCACGCACAATTGTAGCCAGAACGGCATACACATCATTAAGCAAATCATGGACATGCAAGGTCAGTGTCCAAGCCACAGTGGGCAAACTCAGCAATGCCAAATCTTGTTGACAATCCAGGCTGCACATGCAAGTGCCCGAGGACTTGTCCATAAGGGGGGGGTTTCGGCCCCAGGCAATGGCGATAGGCCATCATCAGTAGAGTGTCACCATGCCTTTTCTCTATACCCCCACTTGACATGCGCTCTCCACCACAACTTTCACTCTGCTTCTCTATTCTTCTCCTGACCCTTGGAAACAGGGTTGCACACACACACTAGCCACTAGGGCACCATCACGAATGCGGCAAGTCTTCTTTTTAGGACCTTGGCGCAGTCTTCGTAGGAGAATCCTTTTTGTACATACACACGAACGAGGTCAGATAACTGTTGGTCTCTAGCTTCGGGTGGCCACGCATAGCGAGTAATCAACGCAGCGCGAGATTTCAAGCCCGACATTCTCAAGCGCAAACTGCCTGCAGACTGCGGATCGCGTACTTCATGAAGATTGGATGGAACACGATATGTGATGGTTCTTTCACCCGGGTCAACGACGAAGCCCAAAAACTCCAAAGATGGCACCACTTCTAGTTGTACCGGCCTGCCATAAAACCATTCATGCCGGAATGTTTGAAATACCGGCCGATGGAAATCTGAAACATGACAGACCATAAACCGACTATCCACGTACCTGACTCGGAGTGTGGGATAAACGGGTTGATGACGCCAGTTGTTGTAGACTCGCGACCAGGTCAGTTCAATATGGGCAATAGCGACTTCGCTGATCACGGGACTCACCTGGTTTCCAATCCCTGTGCCCCGGATTTGCTTCCATACTGCGCCCAGCGCACAAAAGATACAGGAACGGAAGCTGTACGCAATCACGTCGATCAAATGAATAGGATACAAGACTACCGAATGTTTCGGCCGATGATAGAACTTCCCCCGAAATGTGCGCTCTGCAACTGACAAACCAACATCCATGTTGACAGTAATCGGACCATCACCCTTCTGATGTATCCAGTCCTGGACAAGTGCTTGTGTTGCACATAACAATCGGTCTTGAGGAATGGAGTTGAAGAATCCTACGAGATCGTCGTTGCAAACAACTGGCTGGTAGTCATCAACGGAGTCGAGCCTTTCGAAAAACTCGTGAATGTGCTTCCATGTCTGTGGAATGCTCTGTTGACCGGAATGTTGCGGCCAACAGTGGCGAAGCATCATAAGCAGTGCGTTCGCACATGCCTTTAGCAGCTTGGAGTGATAGGCTTTGAAATGGGAAATCAACGTACGACCCATGAGATATTCCTTTTTTGCTTTAAGGAAAACAAATCCAGAAGGAAGACAAGACGTTTTTTGAAATCCCCATGGATACGCCTTCAGAATATGTGCTGGGGCAAGTCGCTGCACTTGGTACTTCCAATGCTCTGCACTTCCAGATAGAGGTTGAAACAACTGAGCATCATTCCACGTTCGGCACGCACCCTGAAAGTACAGCCGTGGACAGAATATCATCACCTTTTGAGGGTGATGATCTTCATGATGGATAACCCAGTCTTCCCCCAGGAACTTCTTGAGCCGTTGAACGTCAGCAAAAGTAAAGCGAGGATATTCATCCAGGGACTTCAAATGCTGAGGCCATTGCTGATTGAGGAACTTTGGAAACTCATCCTTGAGGAACATAGGAAGCCCATGATGTTTGAGCCATTTTTTGAAGGCATTGGTAGCAATGTCGAAAAACTTTGTTTGAGCGAAGAAAACAGTAGAACCAGCATTGGCAGTTCGAAACATGCGCAAAGTTGTAGGTAAGCGCAATCCATCCAAAGAGGTTGCCACATGTCCATGGGCCGAGGTTGCCAAAGGATGATCGCGAAGAAACCGATGGCATACACAAGGCAATACCTCAGGTTGCAATAGATTGTATCCTCGGCGTTCCCAACTTCTGAAGTTGAACAGCAACTCTTTCAATTTTGGGAACGCTGTTTCACGCGGCTTGCAAGAAGGCAGATGAAGCGGAATAGCAAACTGCTTGTTTGATAACACAATCTGTCGAAGGAAAGCTTGAAGATCACGAGGAAACTGATCATGAGATAGGAAAGGGCAAGAAAACGGTGAATTGCTCTTGGGTACAGAGAGTCCCCGAAACCGCATTGCGGATGCAATCAACGACCGCACACGTGACCTCGCCGGCTCCTCGAGGTTCCCCGATAGTCTATACAGTCCATATACCTCGAAATCGTGTAGTGCTGCAGACCGTATTCGTGTGGATGTAAGAAACGATTGTTTTGTAAACAGACTGAGCTCATACAGAAGTTTCCAAGCTTGCTTTTGTTGTAATGACACGGGGCAACCTTGCACTGTAGACAGTCTTCGCCGGACCTTCGCAAACAGCCTATTTCCAATAGACAGCCTTGCAAAACCATGAAACTGACGACGCATGTGAAAACCCATCGAAGTACGCTTGATCAACTTGGTAACCAAGGGATAGTTGAGTGGTGAGGCCCAGTTGGCGATCAACGCATGTTCAAAAACCCACGCTGAGGGGTAATCTTGAAATGTTTGCAACTGGATGGTGGAGTAAATAGCATAGGATTTTGTGCTACTCCACCACCGAATGGCCAATTCCACTTTGACTGGATCTCCTGCATCTGTTTGGCGAAGACGTGTTTGACGATTGAACTCGCGCTTTGTGATACCCACCGATGTGCTTCCGATGTAGAACTTCGGCAACTGATGAAAACATCGATCTGAAACTCGAACCATACAAGGCATCTTGATGTACACGGCGTTGGGTGTCTGGAACTTGGAGAAAGAGTATGAGCGTGGCGTCACTCCAAGCCCAGTCAATCTCTTCTTAAACTGCTGCACACGAAAGGTCTTATCTGGGAAATGAAAAATAAAGCAAACATGCAAAAGGCCCTGCGCCCAAATGGCCAAGGCTTTTTCTACGTGTCTAATTTCATGAATAAAAAACGTGAGAGCCTCGAAGATGACCTTGGCATTGGAAAACAACGTCTGGGACTCTGCGAAGGTCATAGACTCTTGCATCAGCATTGCCGTTCAAGCCGCCAGAAAAGATGCGACCCCAATGACAGACGTGAGATTCCTTGTGTTCATCTTGGCCGCCAAACCCATAGGTAAGCCATACTGAATAGCAACTTCTTGGAAATTGGGTTTCTTTTTGGCAGACTTATTGTAAGCAACAAGCATCTCCGACACGTTGTCCACATGAGCCTGCAGCCCCTTGATCCGGAATGACTTGATCCACGATTCCACTTGTAGATTGGTGTGAGATTTCGGGAGGTTGTCCGAAAACACCTTGGAGCGCACATCCAAAACCTGTTCAGGAGTTGGTAGGACCTTGTGATCACCGGCGCTGCTTGTACCTGGCTGCTTACGGCGCCTTTTGTTGCTAGACGGCAGCTGAGCATCATCATCATCATCATCTTGACGATGTTTTGTGGGTGTGAGCTGAATGCCTGCATCTTCCAGTTTCCTCTGGTACTTGCTGATTTGCTGTTGCATTTCCGCAACCTTGTGGACAGCTTGTGCATCGACAGCGGGAGGTGAATGCTTCTTGATCTCATCGAACACAATACTGGCCAAAGGATGCATAAACTCATTCGGATGGTCAATCTTGCTAGGCGGGGTAACTCCAGGCTTCTGTTGTTTGTGAATATACTCTGCAACCTTGTCGATGTCAACATGTTCGTCTCGAATCATCTTGAGGACGGCTGATAAGAGTACCGATTCGGCGATGTTCCGGGTAGTGACCACCCCCACGAATTTTCCCTCCGAAAGTAGGCGGAACGCATATTCTTCGGCACCATGGCGGGTCAACTGAGCAAGTTTGACTTGCAAAGGGTCCTGGCCAACGAGATGTTTCTTTCGCGACCATGGGGTAGCTTGAATTTGACGAAACAAGGAATGACCCCTAAATTCTTGGGCATCATGATGGGTGTCAGTCTGCCTCCACGATTGAGGGAGATCAACATGACCGAAACTGGAGCTGGGACGATGTGACTGATTGGAAGAGTGGCTCCAATCGTTAGTCCAAGAATCGGACCCCCATTGGTCAGATTGACCAGACCACTTCTTTTGCTCTTTCTGCCACCAGCTCATTGCACCCACTACGGCAAAAAGTGCCTATTCGAGTGGGATCACGAATTGAGCCAAAACCTACCGAACCTTCTTTCTCTCTCAACAAAGCTCTCTCACCCTTCACGTCATTTCCGCTGAGACGTTGTAAGATACACACGATCACACACTTGTCAACTCTAAAAAATCCGACGCTCACGCACTCAGAAGCATACCCCATGGTACGAGCAACGCTCGGAGCAGTAGAACAAAGGAACTGCACTTGGGTGACACGCAAACTTTCATGGTTAGGATCGCAACAACTTCTTCCATGTTTCAATCTGGTACACCTGAAGCTTCAGATCTAACACGTAGCGCTTGCTTCAGACATGTAAATGTGTAAGTGTGCAAACATGTGAATATGAATGCACGCCGCACTCCAACTTACGGAAACACTGACACACATGACCGAGTTGCCAGGCAAACTGGCAGAATGCGCAGCATGACAGCTTGAAAATTACACCGTAATTGCCGCCAGCAACACTGTGCAGGTATTTTTGCCGCATTGACTGGCAACATTGGTGCTGATCCTTCTGGACCAAGAAAGTGAGACTGATGAGCACTAACGGCGATTACGATTGTACTCAACATAACAG